CAAAAATGACTGCAGACATTGCAGCAAAAGAGAGGTTGAACTAACGAGGTGCCATCAAGCTGAAGTCAAGCCGACTGAAAGAGTTGATGATGGTGAAGTGGAACCAAATATAGATATCAAGACAGAACAGGAGAAAGACCAAGATTTGAAGCCAATGATTGATTTCCTAAAAGCAAGTGTTTTGCGCCCTGCTTGTGAGAAGGTGTCTAGTCTAAGCCCTGTGACAAAGAACTATTGGGCACAATGGGACCAGTTGAGGCTTGAAGATGGTATTCTTCTCTGGAGATGGGAAACTGCAGATGGGAAAGTGACGACCTGGCAAACGGTTATACCGAGAAAGATACGGGAAGTTGTGCTGTGTCAATCCCATGATACTGTAACAGGAGGACATCTCTGATGTGACTGTTACTGACGATGGGACATTTCCTGATGAAGCAGATGAACTCCACGTGATGCAGAAGTCAACGAGACGGAGACCAGTACGGAAGAAGATACGTCCCGTAAAATTAAGAGACTTTGTTGAATTGTAATTTTGTGTTTGTAATTCTGTACATTTAATTAAGTTATTGTTAATCGTTATTGGTTTAATGTAAGCGGCTATTATTCGGGACGAACAATACTAAGGAAGGGGCATTGTTGCGTCAGCGAGGTCACGCCACCTGTTTCTAGAAATATCCTGTTCCTTCAAGAATGCTCTAGCATTTACTGGATATGTGTTAGTCTTGTATATATATAAGACGTTCTCAACGTGATGGGACAACAGTGTAATGAGTAATTGAATGTATGCGGACAAAATTGGCCACGTGAGACATAGCGTTGTTATAGAGCGACTGTTGAAATTAAGTGTATCGTAAAGTTATATTCAGAAAGAATAAACCAGTTTTATTAAGAAAGGACTTGTGTCGCTAAAGTTTCGTGGGAACGAAGTTACGGAAAATTAACTAAAGAACAGAGACGTAACCATATATTCTGGATAACAAAAAACAATACAAGAGAACTGGAGGGCTTAGACTCTTTAAAGTTTTAGAATTCGGCCTTCTCTGTTTTGACATACGACTTTACTTTTTTATAAACCAGATTGAACTTAAAAGACGTGATAAAAGTCTTCAATAGTTTAATAGATTAATACGTTTTAGAATATTCGATGTAAAAACATCATTGATTTTTGTGTACATAATCTTTAATTATGAAATATTCAAACAGGTAATCGGCATCTCTATGGAGTTAATTTCTCATCAAACTTCTATTTTTATGAAAATTTATTTATGAAGAAAGCAACAAGTCCTGACAAGTATGTGTTTATCTTTCGTTACACCGTATCAATTAATAACCCAGAAATATAACCTAGTAACAGTTTATTTTACAAAGCACACTTTTTAGATTTAGGTGTTAACATTCTAGAAAGCAAAGTGCAATTGGACGTATTTGATAAAAGAAATAAATTTAAATTTCCTATTTTGAGACTGCTCTCTCTCCGAGTAGTGTGGTGTTACATATTCTGTTAAAAGATGTCTAACAATACTTAATAAAGGCACTTTCTTTGCGTATAATATAGAGCTAGTAAAAGATAAACTCTTGTTCAGCAAGTAAAATAATTTTGAAATCAATAAAGTATTTAAATTATTACATATTTAAATCTTATAACTTATACTTATAAGAAAGTACTTTTTTTTACAAAAAGTTTGAATGCAATTATTTCTAACTTGAAATATTATTTTTTTTAAAGGACGCTTGTATATAAAAATTAGCGGTAGTTATGATACAAATTTCAGTATATTTAGATCGGAAAAGCTGACTTTAACAATAACTTAATCTTTCAAACAAACCTATGGAGACTGAGCTAGACCCAAATGTCTAGCTCAGTCTCCTCAGGTTTGTTTGAAAGATTAAGTTATTTCTAAGGGTACCAGAACTATAGAGGTGAGTTTATGGTGTTTAACAGCAGATCTAAAAAGTACAATATCATGTATTATTAGAACTACAAAAAAGGTGGAGGTAGATGGAAATATTTGATGGAAGTCGAGGGTGGTTGATGTTATCAGATTTCTTTTTTTTATGTCTTCACTGGTAACTATCATGCTCACAACCGGCTCTAGACGGTGGGTGGTAGTGGGATCTAGGACGTTGTGGGTTCTAGCACCCAAATTCTAACTCCTTATTGAATCTGTAGATTGCTTTCTAGTTTTGCACCTGTTGTTTTGAATATGTTTGATAGACGGAATGTCTATGATCGAAGACATTCTCACTTTTGAATGGTAACATTTGTACTTTTGTAAAATTACACATTGTTTTGTTACAGTTTTATGGCGCGATTATGTATTTGTGAGCGCGTCAGGGCTGTGCAGTGTTGAGGAATCCATCGTCTGCATATCTTAGGTGTAATACAGATTATTACTATGAAACATCTATCTATCTAAACTTACTTGTTTTTAACTCAGTATTGCTAGTTCTTATTTTGTATTATTAGTGAACAATAAAGTAACATGAACAATAGAATGATTTAGTTTTGTTGGACAACAGTATATTTAAAGAAGATATTCGAGTCTGATATTTTTGTTTTGAATAATTAGATTCAGTGTCTTCCTCCACCCCACACACTGTACTGCACATTTGATAAGCGTGCTGGACTGTAGATCTCTCGTTAGATCCAAAGTTCGAGCCCGCGACCTGCTGTTTAACACGCTCCACTATCTCATCAGTGGGTGCGTGATAAAAGGACAGCTAATCCTCAACCGTAGGGGACAGCTAATCCTCAACCGTGGGAGGTGTTTGAGTCGTTTGGTCGATGTGTCATATGAAGTTCCCACCATGTTAAAAAATACCAAATATACTGAATTATCCACCGAGATCTAAATATAAAGAATAAAGTCGTATTTTGTCAAACATAGCTACTCCTATATAAGGCATACTTGTTTGTATGTGAAGTATGATACTGTAAGTTTAACAGTATGTATATCATAATAAAGAACTTCTACAACTATTTAAATGATCATTAATTCTTACCCCTAGTTATGAAAATACATTTTTGTATGCGTCGAACTGTTTAATAGTAAAACACCCTTCCCCCCACCTCAGACTTCGTTAAGTAAATATCTGTTTACATGTAACTTGACGAAAGTTAAGGTTAAGTAAACAATTTTCTGAATGTAGCTGACTAGAAATTAAGAAATGGAATGATCGTTCTATTTAGATTTAACTTAGCAAAAATTGAATACTAAAGAATACTTTTCTGTCTGGAAATAAGTTAGAGGATCTTAAGTTTATAGAAACAGTGATTGTATAGTATGGATGTATAACTGATGAGAAGTTACGGACAAGGAAAGATCTGTCGAGATATAACCAACTCATAATTAAAGAATACCATGATTGTTCTCTCTGGATAGTCCTCCGATGGGTAAGCGGTAAGTTTCGGACTTTCAGCACTAAACATACGTGGTTCGATTCCTGCAGTGAACAAAAAGCAGATAGCATATTGTTTAGTTTTGCACTAAAAAAACTATCCGAATATAATTGACCGAAGTAAAAATTAGGGAGCAGTATGATTGCTCTTTCTGCTTTCCTTATCCTGCTTCTATAACTGGAGGAGTAGAGAGCAGTGTTTTTAACTTAATATTTTACGATTATACGTGACAAGTTAATCAAATACCGACTAGTAACATAACGGACCGAATTATCGAGAACGTTTTAGAATTATTAGTAGTCAAAGGTATTAAGTTCTGACCGAAAGTAAGTTACTTAAGTACAAACACAAACAACGGTATTAAGTTCTGACCGAAAGTAAGTTACTTAAGAACAAACACAAGTAAGTTACTTAAGTACAAACACAAACAAAGGTATTAAGTTCTGACCGAAAGTAAGTTACTTAAGTACAAACACAACTAAGTTATCTAAGAACAAACACAAGTAAGTTACTTAAGTACAAACACAAATAAAGGTATTAAGTTCTGACCGAAAGTAAGTTACTTAGAACAAACACAAGTAAGTTACTTAAGAACAAACACAAGTGAGTTACTTAAGTACAAACAAATGTATTAAGTTCTGACCGAAAGTAAGTTACTTAAGTACAAACAAAGGTATTAAGTTCTGACCGAAAGTAAGTTACTTAAATACGAACACAAATGAAGTCGATTAGTCCACAATATCTAACAAAATTAAATTATTTAGAGTTACTGTATATATGAAGTTTTTTGTATAACGTTTTAAATATAATTTCCTTTTATCTCGGTTTTTACTGAGAAAGAATTAGAACAAACAATATATATATATATATATATAATCAAAATCACCTACTGTGGGCGAAAATGTAAGAAAAATTGGACAGTGAAGACAGAATTAAGAGAAAAGAGGGAAACAAAAGCCAGAAGGATAAAAATGTAGAGAGAGATATGCTAGACTGCAACACTCATAACAAAACAAGCAAGAAAAAGAAGAAGAGGAATTAGATGTAGATAAATTTGAATATATGATTTATTAAACGAGTAACAGGAAAGAACGGGGAGGCTGACAATACCAAAAAAAATATTCTGGGAATTTATTGTAACTGATTCTAGTAAAATCAACAGAGTTGTGTTTATATTTAAAGTTTCTCTCTGCGGAGATCAGGGTGAAATTTTTGACGTGAACGTAAAGGCAAAGAGAATACAAATAGTTGATGATAAAATATGTATCCCCTTTCTGTCTCTCGTGCAGCTTCTCAAGTTTTAAGCTTTCAGGAAATGTTTATAGGCTGCACAAACTTTGTGACGTCACAAGATGACTCACTACGTTCCACGTGGCTTTCCTGCATCTTGCGTGTAGTATGAAATTATAGTCTTATATTTCACCTCACGCGAATATCAAGCTGCGTCTTATGTTATAACTCACTGATAATATCCATTCTTCTGTTTAAAGTCAAGTTTGACTTCTGCCTCTTCGTTCGCTACAGCCAAGTTGTAATAATAAATGTTCACCCCATATAAGAATCGTATTACTATGGCCACGAGACAAAGCAAACTCTTTAATTTAAGTGATCTTTTCGTTTGTTCTCGCTAGTAGTTAGCTATTGGCGTGATAAGCTAGGGGTCATTGTCTTACATGTAAATATAACATCTTTGTGTACTGTATAAATGTTCCTGACGAAGTGGACAATGATGACTCATAATTAGCGAATCAGCTGTCTCTACTCCCCCTCATTCAATTGTTACACGACGCAGGAATTCTGTCCACTAGTGTGTGGGAAGTTGAGGGACTCGAACGAGTCCACCTTCTTCAGGGGGTGAATCGTTATTTGTGGCAGTGCTGGCTAAGCAGCAGTGTTCCAGACATTCTATACAAGTATGTAGCACGAACAACGCTGGAGTTCTCTGTGAGATTGCTATCGGCTGAAAAAGTATCTTTCTGTTTCGAAAAAACGATATGGCAGAGAGCTGAAAACAAAAGGTGAGGTTTTTAGTTGAAGTCTTGCAGTTTTGATTTGCTGTCTTTATGTTCATCGTGCAACAGGCCAGTTCTTAAGTACTGCTTAGCGCTGTTTTCCAACTGAATGAAAGTGATCGATCACCTGTAAAAAACATAGTTCATCAACTTTTATTGAGTGAATTTTGAATCGAAACTTAGTCAATGCATTGTTTACGTACAATTGAACAACGTACAGAAGACGGCGGTTATTTTTAGCCACACGGTAGTTTTTGTTTGTGCCCACCACGGATATCGAAACCCGGTTTCTAGTAAGTCCGTAGATATGCCGCTGTGCCACTTCTCATATCGACTGTATATGTGTATCAAAGGTAAACCGTCAAATCTATTTATAAATCTGTATATTGTACACTTAGTGCAAAAGCAACGCTTGAAGCATAAACTTAACAGTAATACTCTGATTACGCTAAGTGATATATAGATTTCTTTGTTCACTACAACAAACGAAATAGAGAAAATTTGGATTTTGTAAAATTTAAAAACTTGACATAAATAGCCAGTCTGTGTTTAAACACATATAATATTTTAACTTTAATCTTACCTATTATTTTTATGTGTGTTTTATAATGTGTGTTCTATTGACATGTGTTATGTGGATATAAATATAATGTATTCAATAAAGAGACAAACATCCACATCAAGATGGGGTTTTCTTATGCTAACTGAGACGAGACACAGAAAAACCCAGCAACCAAACCTCAGAATTTGTAATGACTTAATCGTATCTTACATAACTGGAAGTTTACACTTGCAGGAGGGCCACCATTATAAGTTGAACTGTATTTATTGACCAAAGTTAACTTGCAGGAAGACCACCATTATAAGTTAAACTATATTTATTGACCAAAGTTAACTTGCAGGAAGACCACCATTATAAGTTGAACTATATTTATTGACCAACGTTAACTCGCAGGAAGACCACCATTATAAGTTGAACTATATTTATTGACCAACGTTAACTTGCAGGAAGACCACCATTATAAGTTGAACTGTATTTATTGACCAACGTTAACTTGCAGGAAGACCACAATTATAAGTTAAACTATATTTATTGACTAACGTTAACTTGCAGGAAGACCACCATTAAAAGTTGAACTGTATTTATTGACCAACGTTAACTTGCAGGAATACCACCATTATAAGTTGAACTATATTTATTGACCAACGTTAACTCGCAGGAATACCACCATTATAAGTTGAACTATATTTATTGACCAACGTTAACTTGCAGGAAGACCACCATTATAAGTTGAACTATATTTGTTGACTAACGTTAACCCATATCACGTTTGTTTTAAAAAAAAACTCTTCACTTCAGACATGAATGCGATCTTAGTCACGTGAGTTCCTAATATATTTTAGCATCTGTACAAGTCATATTAGTCACAGCACACATATAATCGATATATTTCGGCGAGCATTGACTTCTGTCCTATATAATGGAGATTACTGGACTGTGAAGTATTTGAAAGCGGTGGCATGTGCTGACTCAGTAAATTGCATGTGGGGATATCACACTAGGAATACATAATAATAAACAGAGTAACCTATATTTTGTATAGTTCTTGTTTTTACATGTTAATCAAGATACCAAAAAAGTTAATTGACCTGATGAAGATGTGCATGCCTCATGATATATGATATTCTATGAAGCTCAGTATATTTTAATATATGTAGATATCGTTATACATTGAAGGTAGTGTCTTAATTACCATTACAAAGTATAACATAATGAAATTCAGTTTTTAAAACTCTGATATAACTTTTTAAATTGTCTTGAACTAGTTCTTTGCATTTTCATTACTACATTCATTTGTTAAACAAGATACATAATTTTGTATGAAAACCTTTTCACGTGCCGCATATCGATAAAAGATGTAACGATCTGTCCCTTCTGTGGTAAAACATTCACGTACGTAAACAATGTTTGGAAGATTTGGTTCGAATGTACAGTTCAGAAGATCACGGACATTACGAAGATATTACGTTTCAGTACCATGCATTATTCTAATCATCATAAGACGTTCTTTGAACTTTGACCTTCCACCACTCAAAGTTGAACTATATTTATTGACTAACGTTAACTTGCAAGAAGACCACCATTATAAATTGAACTATATTTATTGACTAACGTTAACTTGCAGGAGACCACCATTACAAATTGAACTATATTTATTGGCCAACGTTAACTTGCAGGAGACCACCATTACAAATTGAACTACATTTATTGGCCAACGTTAACCCATATCACATGTGTTTTAAAATAATACAACAGAACAATGTGCGTGTATAGCTTATATTGTTAAGTAATTTTGATAGAACAGGATAGTGTGTTACTATCTATCTATATATATATATATATATATTACTCTTCGAGTAATTTTGATATAACACGACAGTGTGTGTGTAGCTTATATTTTCAAATAATTTTGATATAACACGACAGTGTGTGTGTAGCTTATATTTTCAAATAATTTTGATATAACACGACAGTGTGTGTGTAGCTTATATTTTCAAATAATTTTGTTACATCACGACAGTGTGTGTGTGTATAGTATATATTTTGAAGTAACTTTCAAACGTCACGACAGTGTGTGTCTGTCTGTATAGGTTGTATTTTCAAATAGTTTTGATACAACATAGTAGTGTGTGTGTGTGTGTGCGTATAGCTTTTATTTTCAAGAAATTTTGACATATCACGACAGTGTGTGTGTATATAATTTATATTTGGATAGATAGCGACAGTGTGTGTGTATATAGCTTATATTTTGAAATAATTTTGATACATGACAACACTGTGTGAGTATGTGCAGCTTAAATTTTGAAGTAATGTTGATACATCACGACAGTGTGTGTATAGCTTATATTTTCGTGTAATTTTGATAGAAAAGGATAGTGTGTGTATCGCTTATAGTTTGAAGTATTTTTTCCACATCACGACAGAGTGTGTGTATAGGTTATATTTTGATTCACCACAACAGTGTGTGTGTATATAGTTTATATTTTGAAGCAATTTTGTTATGTCACGACAGTGTATGTGTATAGCTCTTCGAGTAATTTTGACATAACACCACAGTGTGCGTGCGTATATCTTATATTTTCGTGTAATTTTCATACATCACGACAGTGTGTGTGTATATAGCTTATATTCTGAAATAATTTTGATACATCACGACAGTGTGTGTGTATATAGCTTATATTCTGAAATAATTTTGATACATCACGACAGTGTGTGTATGTATATAATTTATATTTGGATAGATAACGACATTGTGTGTGTATATAGCTTATATTTTGAAGTAATTTTGATACATCACGACAGTGTGTGTGTGTGTGTGTGTGTGTATAGCTGTTCGAGTAATTTTTACATAACACTAAAGTGTGTGTGCGTACAGGTTATATTTTCGTGTAATTCTGATAGCACGCGACAGTGTGTGTGTGTGTGTGTGTGTGTGTTTAGCATATATTTTGACACATAACGACAGTGTGTGTCTATATAGATTGCATTTTGAAATAATTTTGATACTTCACAACAGTGTGTTTGTGTTTATACCTTATATTTTGAAGCAATTTTGATATATCACCACAGTATAATGTGTGTATATGTCTAGCTCTTCAAGTAATTTTGACATAACACTACAATGTGTGTGTGTATAGGTTGTATTTTGAAGTATTTTTCATACATCACGACAGTGTGTGCGTGAGTGTATAGCTTATATTTGGAAATAATTTTGATACACCACGACAGTGTGTGTGTGTATTTAGCATATAGTTTGAAATAATTTTAATACAACACGACAGTGTGTGTGTGTATAACTTAGTTTCAATCAATTTTGATACAAAACGACAGTGTGTGTGTATAGTATATATTTTGAAGTAATTTTCATACGTCACGATAGCGTGTGTCTGTCTGTATAGTTTGTATTTTCAAGTAATTTTGATACAACATAGTAGTGTGTGTGTGTGTGTATAGCAATAAATAATAAAAGGAAAAAGAACTAATTCCGTCAACCTAAGCTCTTTGGGGTGAAAATTCCACTTATTTCTGGAGAGGAAATTTTATCTCATCTCACTTTCCAATTTTTCTTTTTCGTCTTTTAACCGGCACCTCTGCTTGCTCCTTGTTTTTAGTGAATATATGGACCAACAGTGCGTTTATTGTCGTTTGAAGGCGTAATGAAAACGGCTGCATATGCATTAGCCTATTTCAAAATCATTACAATGTAATTTGAACATTCAAATATTGACTTACCTTCCTTGTTTGTCATTTTATTTTTGAGATTTTCATTGGTAATCACTAGTCAAAGTAAATCAAATTCTACGCCTCTTTAATTCGGCTGTTATGTTGTAAACTAGTTTATTTAGGGTAGGCATCTGAATAAGGCTTATGGTCGAAAATTTGTGTTGCTAATAAATCAGTATTTATTACTTTATTGAAAGTTAACAGCTGATCACTGAAATTGAGTAAGATATGATCATACCTTTGACTTACGTACTTAACACGTTCAATAATAATCATTTTTGTATTTATGTCACAAAACTGTTTTAATTAAATTAAACATAATTATGTCTTTTATCTCTCTCTTTTTATCTGGTTTGGTTTGAATTTCGTGCAAAGCTACACGAGGGCTGTCTGCGCTAGCTATCACCACCCACAGCCAACTCTTGGGCTACTCTTTTACCAACGATTAGTGGGCTTATAATGCCCTCACGGCTGAAAGGGCGAGCATGTTTGGTGGGACGGGGATTCGAACCCGCGACCCTCAGATTGCGAGTCGAGGTCCTAACCACCTGGCCATACCGGGCCCTTTATATCTGTCTTTGAATTATGTTGCTTAAGTTATGACAGGTCGCACATTACACTGTATTGGGGATGGAGTCTGAAGAGTATGTTTGATGGGGAGTTAAAATGTCACTTTTGCTATAGTAGGAAACGCGTTGAAGTGAAGCTTGTTTTTTTTTTTTCATTATGTGTGAGTTAGACTTCAGATGACAATTGACTAATGTTTTTCGCAAAATACGATTGGCCTTTATCACTAATCTCTAAGTTTATATGGAAAACCAGTAAAAGAAACTTTGACTTTCTTCTTTCTATCCTGCATGGCACATGCAGATTGCAATTTAATCTTGTAGACGTTAATCTGTGGAAAAAAAGGTGGTTTGGATGCTGTAAACGGCTTCTTAATGCACACTTCAGTGATCTCTTCAAGAAAAAGTGGGACCTGTTCGTGAATGAACAACAAATGAGAAGTGAATAGTTCATGGTTTACCCAAATAGTCCTTAATCTTGAGAAGGATCGTTTTGCTGAATATACCATCACAGCAAAGACAGTTAACGGTTTCAGATGAGCTCGTACATTAGAAACAAAGGCTCCATCTACTGCAACCAAGGTTTCATCTGCTTTCGATGACTTGTAGTTACCAAACTGCTTTTTACCATCGGCATCTCTAAAGATCGACGTCTTGTAAATCGTTCAACGTTCCAGGCAAACTTCTCTTATGCACGGATGCGTCATGAATTATTTGATTAAAGATGAAATGATCTGAGATTGAAGACGTAAGGCGTTGGAGATTAGAAATCTGCTAATAATGTGACGCACCTACCAAGCTTCCAGTTCTGTTATAAGGTAGACTAAAATGGTGTATAAACCATACCACGTTTGTGGATCAGATAATTCGATAATTGCCCTGTACTTCTGCTTTGCTACTCGGAGTGACATACGTATGGTTATATCATTTGCAAATCTGATTGCACTTTCGAATGTCTAACGAAACTTCTTTTTTGTTTCTTTTCTATGTTCTTTGAGGATTGGTGTGGCTGTTTTCATCATTCTGCAGGACTTGAAGATATCGCCTACTGAAGGATTCACGAGAGAGCAGCATTGTTATGGCGAAAAGTGAAACAACCACGTCTAATTGAACAATAAATCTAAACAGTTGGAATCAGTAGAAAGCTCATTTATTTTAAAGAACTGTTGAGATTCTACATTTGAACGCCATTACAGCCTAGATTTTTTCGTAGAGCTTTAGATATTTGGTTTCACAGACTAGTTCCAACCATTTTGTTTCCAGTACAAATTTTCTCGGGTTACTGTTTGGACAAGGCTTCTCTATCATCTGATTCGCATAAACGTTGCCAACAGACTGCTATTTATCTGAATCACGGAAATATCCTCAGCATGGGCTCTTCTTTCCATTGAATTATCGGAACATTTCAGCACTGACTACTTTTCTTATCTTACTAATAATTTTCACTTGTAAAGGGCGCTTCTCTTTTGTCTGATAAATAGAATCATCCCAAACATGGGCTTATCATTCACTCAATTAACAGAATCATTCTCACGCAGGCTTCTCTGTCATCTAGGAAATAAACATCCCCAACATTGATCGTGTTATGTCTGAGTTATTAAAACATCTCCAACCTGTTTACTATTTAAGTTTATCATTTTAATAACAACGAATACAAAATAGAAACAAACAGGTTGCTAAAGTTGGTTTTTATTGCCATACAATAGAACAAGATCACTTGAACTGATGTTTATCGAAAATCCCACAAACTGCAATAATTCAGAGTCGTATATGATCCAACAAGTATATCAATGAATATCAGACGTAAAAGGTATTGTGTAATGAAGAGTTGTATAAAGTGTCAAATGATCCTTTATAAAATTGTATTTTTTATGTATGCAATGATGTTTTATTACCGAAGGTGGTGTGGTATTTTATTGAAGAGCAATGTACTATTGTGCTAAATTTATAAAATTTCAAAGTTATGCACTTTTGTTTTAAATAACTGTCTTAAATGTCTCTCGCTCGTATCTTTTTAGCCGCGTTTCTTTTTCTTCTTCTTTTTTTTTTTAAAGTACAAACTTATAGCTCATATCTCCATATCTCTTGACCGATTTGTGATCTAACTACAGTTTGGGACTCAGGAGATCAAACACTTTCGATTGACGTATTTGACTGTGCCCAAGGTCTTATAGATTAATTTACTATAATCCCGACTAAACGAATTTCAATTTTGAGGTAAGCTGGTAGAGATCCTGATGAGTAATAATATTGAATCGGGTATACGCGCGCCCTACGCTTGGTATTGTTGGCGCACAAAAATATAGGTAATAAAAAGGC